GGGTGGAAATATTCCAGTTCCTCTTGTTACGAGATATTCTGGGATGGTGTCCAGCAGAGTGTAAATATAGGCGACACACCCTCTGCCTGAAATGTGCACGTGGTGTCTGTCAGTGTCCTCTCCTGTACTGGCATCTACACAGAAATATCTCACCTTCACCTAATGACATCAAACTGATGACAGAGAGTATTTCAGTATTTTTTTCATTAGAGCGGTATACTATATGATTTTTGTAGGTAATGGGGTTGTAACTTTAATTTACACATTGGGCAATTTTTCTCCTAAAAGCCTAAAAGAGTTAAACTTCAAATCCTGAGCTCTTCTTCACAGTTATAAAATACATGTAGCTTCTTGGTTTATGAATAACATGTCCTGTCTTTTCAGCACAAAGATGCAGAAATTAAACTACACCCTTGTACATCCCCTTGTAGGGAGATTACTCTCAGCTACTACCACACTAAATATTAGCTCAGTATCTGTATATACAGGTGCTGGTCATAAAATTAGAATTTCATGAAAAAAGTTCATTTATTTCAGTAACTTCATTCAAAAAGTGAAACTTGTATATTATATTCATTCATTACACACATACTGATATATTTCAAGTGTTTATTTATTTTAATGTTGATAATTATAACCAACAACTAATGAAAACCTCAAATTCAGTATCTCAGAAAATTATAATAATGTGAAAAGGTTCAATATTGAAGAAACCTAGTGCCACAGTCTAATCAGCTACTTAACTCAAAACACTTGCAAAGGCCTTTAAATGATCTAGGCTACACAGTCATGGGAAAGATGGACACCTTGCACAAGGAGGGCAAGATACAAAAGGTCATTGCTAAAGAGGCTGGCTGTTCACAGAGCTCTGTGTCCAAGCACATTAATAGAGAGGTGAAGGGAAAGAAACAATGTGGTAGAAAAAAAAGTGTACAAGCAATAGGGATAACCGCAACCTGGAGAGGATTGCGAAACAAAACCCATTCCAAAATGTGGGGGAGAATCACAAAGAGTGGACTGCAGCTGGAGTCCGTGCTTCAAGAACCACCACGCTCAGAGGTATGCAAGACGAGGGGTTCAGCTGTCACATTCCTTGTGTCAAGCTACTCTTGAACAAGAGACGGCGTCAGAAGTGTCTCGCCTAGGACTGTTGCTGAGTGGTCCAAAGTTATGTTCTCTGATGAAAGTAAATTTTGCATTTCCTTTAGAAATCAATGTCCCAGAGTCTGGAGGAAGAGAGTAGAGGCACAGAATCCACGTTGCTTGAGTTCCAATGTCAAGTTTCCACAGTGATGGTTTGGGGTGCCATGTCATCTGCTGGTGTTGGTCCACTGTGTTTTCCGAGGTCCAAGGTCAACGCCGCTGTCTACCAGGAGATTTTAGAGCGCTTCTTGCTTCCTGCTTCCTGCTGCTGACCAACTTTATGGAGATGCCAATTTCATTTTCAAACAGGACTTGGCACCTGCACACAGTGCCCAAGCTACCAGTATCTGGTTTAAGGACCATGGTATCCCTGTTCTTAATTGGCCAGCAAACCCACCTGACCATAACCCCATAGAAAATCTATGGGGTATTGTGAAGAGGAAGATGTGATAAACCAGACCCAACAATTCAGAAAAGCTGAAGGCCACTATCAGAGCAACCTGGGCTCTCATAACACCTGAGCAGTGCCACAGACTGATCGACTCCAAGTCACGCCGCATTGCTGCAGTAATCCAGGCAAAAGGAGCCCCAGCTAAGTGTTGAGTGCTGTACATGCTCATACTTTTCATGTTCATACTTTTCATTTGGCCAACATTTCTAAAAATCATTTTTTATTGGTCTTAAGTAATATTTTAATTTTCTGAGATACTGAATTTGTGGTTTTCATTTATTGTCAGTCATAATAATCAACATTAAAAGAGATAAACATTTGAAATATATCAGTCCATGTGTAATGAATGAATATAATGTACAAGTTTCACTTTTTTGAATGGAATTACTGAAATAAATCAACTTTTTCATAATGTTCATATTTTATAACCAGCACCTGTATATAAAAGTGACTCTACTATAGCTATTTTTGTGTTAGCTAAAGTTGATTAGCTGTGGTGGCCACCTGTAATTGGGTTGACTTCAAAAGGTAACGAGTTGTAGATGTACATCCAATAATCACTTATGGGCAGTTTTATTAAAATCTATCCAGAGGTTCATAAAATATTTTGCCAACAGAAGCAACCACACGGAGGCGATTATATGATTGTCCACCTTTAACGGCAGCTAGAACCTGAGCTTCTGTAACATAAGATTTGATCCACAACCAGGATTTTTGGATTCAAGCGAATTGTGAAAACACAATCTTTTATTTTAATTTTGGACAGCTGGCTTTGAGTGCGCATGCTAACAGTATCACAAACGGTAATTTCTGACAAACAGCTTCATTCATCCCTAAACTAACTAATTCAAAAGGCTCTACACTAAATACAATATAAATAAACACAACAGAGTGAAAGAAACCAGACACATGCAGCACTGTTAAACGCTCAATTGCTTTTGTAAGTAATTAAAACCACAAAGTGCAATATGTCTGTGAGACGGCAGCTCTTTTACCATAACTGAATGAAGTGATTCACACGGAACAGCTCGGCAGTCACAACTCTACTGTTGCCAACAGTGCTGCCTCTTTGACCATTCACTGCTGCTCTGTTTACACCAGAGCCACATCCAGCTCCAGTGTTCCTCACGGAGCATTCTGTTGATGTTACTGCAGCGCGAGTGATAGCCTCCAGCGTTTTACAGAGCCTTCCATGCAGTAGGTGATGGACGAGGAGGTGGAGAGGGAGTGAACAAACAGACCCCGTGATCTCCATCACTTCAAAACGTATTTATTCAGCAGTATTTTAAAGGAATAGTCGGGGCAATTTTGAAGTTGTGTTTTCTTTTAACATATATCAATAGGCTCTTTCACAAAATGGTCACAAAGACCAGTCAGTCTTTAAGCTATCATTTATATATTACTGATGTGAAAGCATTTAAGCACTTCTGAAGTGCTTAAATCTCATTTCTTCTCACTGTATGTGATAAAGCTTCTCATTTCGGAGAACATGTCTTCTGACGTTAATCTCAGTCGGCTTCTCTTTGTTTCAGAGAAGGCTGAGCAGCCCAGTTCAAACCTCACACCCAGCATCACGATGACGAGAGCTGGCTGGTGCTTTATTCACCGCATGATCTCATGCCCCACTTCACAAGGGAATAAGTGACTGTCTTACTGAAATACTAAATGAGAATCAGGAAGCTCCTCCTAAAGCCAAACACAGGAAGTTCATGTATCACATCACACACTTTTCCCAGCCTTTCAACCATCTCTGTATTTCTTCTCCTTCTAAACATCTCTGCTTCCTTTAAGAGTTATAGTCCACTCTCACTTGAACACTTTGTTTCCACTTCGAGTTTTTACGCTTTCTCTTATTGTGTGAATGTTTATGAAGCATTCACCCTATTGTGATCCATTTTTCTTCCATATGTTTTTAGGCATCTTTCTCGTTCCACAATTTTCGGGCTATTTCAACAAATCTTATATCAAAATGTTCAGCTCGTTCATTCATTTGGTCTGGCCGAACTTCTTTCAGCTTCCTTGAGCAAATTTTAACTTTTTTCCAGCTACTTTCAGCTAATTTCATCAGTTTTTTTTTCAGCTGTTTTGTGCTCCTTTCAGATTCTTTCTGCTAACTACAACCTTTTTGTGCTTCTTCTAACTTCTTTCTGCCAATTTCAGTCTGTTATGCTCCTTTTAGCTTATTTCTGCAAGTTTCAGTTTTTTCTGCTATTTCAGCTACTATTAAGCTGTTTTATTATAATTTTAGCTTTTTCAGCTAATTCCACTTTTATTGCACTCGTTTAATTTTTTCAGCCTAATTCAGTAAAAATGTGCTTCCTTCTGGTAATTTTAGCATCATTGTTTTTTTTAGCTATTTTTCGGCTGGTTTTACGCTAAGTTCTGCTTTTTTCAGATAATTTCCAATTTTTGTGATAATTTCTGCTTCTTTCAGCCTAATTGGGCAACATGTTCTTTCTGCTTTTTAATGAAGCGTGTTCTACCTTTTCAGCTAGCTTTTTAGTACATTTTAGCTAATTTCAGCTGTTTTCAGATAAATTCAAGTTTTTCATGATAATTTTTGCTACTTTCAGCCAAATAAACTTCTTTCTGCTAATTTCAGCTTGTTATGCTTGTCTCAGCTTATTTCTGTTAGTTTCAGTTATTTCAGCTACTATTTAGCTGTTTTCATGCTAATTTTAGCTTGTTTTAGATAATTCCACTTTTGTTGCACTCATTAAAAAAAGCAGCTTATTCAGTAAAAATGTGCTTTCTCCACTTCCTACTGGTAATTTCAGATTCTTTCTGTTTTTTAAGCTACTTTTAATTTGGTTTTATGTTAATTTCATCTCTTTTTTTAGGTAATTTCCACTTTTTGTGCTCATTTCTGCTTCTTTCAGCCTAATTGGGCAAACATGTTCTTTCTGCTTTTTTCTGCTAATTTAAGCTTGTTCTACCTTTACAGCTAGCGTTTTAGCACATTTTAGCTAATTTCAGTTGTTTTCTGATAAATTCAAGTTTTTATGGTAATTTTTGCTACTTTCAGCCTAATTAACTTCTTTCTGCTCATTTCAGCTTGTTATGCTCGTTTCAGTTTATTTCTGCAAGATTCAGTTATTTCACCTACTATTTGATTGTTTTTATGCCAATATTAGCTTTTTCAGCTAATATCCACATTTTTTCCACTCGTTTCAACTTTTGTGTTCTTTCTACTTTCGCCTGCTGATTTGCACTTGTTCTACATTTTCAGCTACATGTCAGCATGTTGTTTTTGGTCATTTCAGCTGTTTGTTTAGCAAGTTCTTAAACATTCACACTGCATTTTCACAGGAAATACAATTTCTCTAGTTCTCTGTGTTTTCTGTTGAATGACCAATCGTGACAAAGGGCAGAACAAACCAACGTATTTTAAACATTATTACCGTACCTATGTATCATATTTTCAAGCATTTTCCCTTGTTCTTCGTCCTTCTCCAACTGTTTCCGCCGGGCCTCCTCTTCCTCTGCTCCCATTCCCTGGAGGAGCCATCGCTCACGCATGGCTTTGGACTGCGGAGGACACAAAGACATCAGCGCTTCAAGGGAGTCGTACGAGACGTACAAAGTCTGACAAGGCTGGGAAACTAATTAGCCGTTTAAAGTTGAACAACACTAAAAGAGAGAAAACATTTTGAAAAAAATTCCCACATACATTAAATATTTGATTGTGCCGTAAATTATTGTTGTTTTTGTTTATGATGGCATTCTTGCATCACATGTTGTTTGATATATTTTTTGATTTAAAGCGCTTCAAATGCAAGTGTGTTGAAGATGGGTTTCTTATCAGAAGGGGTGTTTTTCTGGACCATATCTTGGTTGTTTTCTTCCAGTTTTAGAAGCCAAATGTGAACTCACCCATTTCCTCTACAGGACAATTGTCTTAATTGTCAGCCTGGATGAGAATATTAGGCTTAACAAAAATACCTTGCCCTTAGGTCTCCGACTCCACAAAATGACCCCTTTTGTTAATGTATTTTTGTTAAAGGAAAACTAAATCTAAAACGTAGTATTCCTTGAATGAATGCATATGAGACATTACCTAACAAATACTCACTGAGACTATTATAAGATAAGATAACACACACTCTGATGCTACAAAATGGGCTCCAGTGATTCAGTAGATCTAGATTCATAAACATTTGAATGTGTTTATTATCCTAAGATTCACAATCTAAAGCAGGTGTGATAAAATCTTAGAACATTTTGACAGCAAGGGAGCCGGTCCTGCTGGATTTCTTTAACGTTTTATAAAACTGACTGCTGTTTATGTGACTAATGGCTCCATCTGTAGCTTCAGATTTGTTTTGTTACCACAACACTGTTGAGCACGAACACTTAACTTCACCTTTAGCTGTTTACACTCAAATTGTTTTTGGAGAGCTGACAATCAACAGTTAGAGGTTCTTCCACACACAGTAAAAAAAAGAAGCTGCCGAAACAATTCTGAAGCATTTTGCCAGCTGCTGCCAGAATGTGGCTGCTGCTGGGCTCAGCTGACACGAGCACAAATCTGCCATGGATTAAAAAAAATATATATATTTCAACAGCAAAATAGTAGCTACAAGCTCAAATGAGCAAAATACTTGAAAACTAAAACAGGCAAATTAGCTAAATGTAATAATTTAATTGGAAGCCAAGCGTTAAATGCAGCAAAATCTGTTTTTCTGTTTCTTCAGTTTATTGAGTTTATCCTATTCCTGTTTATTTTATGGTTTATTTTTTTGTCTTTTGGGTTTGGTTACTTGTGTATAATGTATAACACATTTTTTGCCCTATAGGTTGCAGTTTTTTTTAAAAATCATTTGCATGCCCTGCGACTTATACACCGAAGCAACATATTTATGGATTTTTTTCTCATAGTTATGAACCAATTTTTGGCTGAGATATGACCATTTTCATTCATTCTGACTGAAAATATTGAACACTACCATTGTCAGCTGCTAGATGGCACTCGAGGATATGGAATGCCGTTGTATCATGTAATAGGTAAAAGTGACTATTAATGACACAGAAAATACAGTAAGTATACGTGCTGTGTGTGAAATTGGTTCTCTTTATTTAACCCATCACACCTGGGATATACCCAGGTGGAGCAGTGGGCAGCTATGTATTTCCCCATCAGTTTAAATCCCTATACGTTTTTGTACTTGATCGTTATGTGTATTTGAGGTTTGTAAGTAGGTCTTGTTTCTGTTTCCCAGTCCTCCTTGTGCCACTATTTACCTATGGTCACTTTCCTCAGTGTTTTTTCCATTTCGTCTACCACCCTCACCTGTTCCTAATCAGTAATCATCCAAGGTGTTTTCTTTTCCCGCTTACTTCTGTTCTATTTATTCAGTCCAGTTCAGCATTATTTGGCCTCTGTGCCCCAAAGGTTTGTGTTTTTTATTGTAATCATTTGAAGTTTGTTGTATTACTTTGTTTTTGCTGCCATGGCAGCCATTTTGTTTTGTTTGTTGAAATAATTTTTTTTTAGTTTAACCTCTGAGTCTGTCTTCATCTGAGTATCATCCTTCACAAACCTTACATAGCTAAAAACTAAAATTAGAAAAGACAGTTACCAAAAGCAAAACACACGCTGAATGTAGCCAAACAGTAGCAAAGTCTAAAACGAGCGGAACAGTAGCAAAAAGCTAAATTTAGCCAAACCATAGCTAAAAGCTAAAATGAGCAAGACAGAAGCTAAAAGGTGCTCAAATACAAAAATACAGCAAAAACTGACAAAAAATAAATGTTTTTGTTAGAGTTCAATAGATAATGTCTTTATATTTCTTTTGTATTTTGTAAACATAACTTCTTTAAGGAGTATAAAAGTTACAAAAACTGAAAGTCATTGCAAACTATTCTTAACCAAGGTGAATGTTCGGATATAGGTATGGTTATAATAGCAGAAAGAATAAGCGGTTATGTAGAGCCATGTAGGAACGTGATGTTTGTATTATTATTGATTTTATATGTCAAGCAGTTATTTAATTTGATATTTGCTTAAAAACTATTCATCCAAGCGAAAATCTGTGTGATTTTCTTTAGTTCTTTTCAAGGGTGCACCAGTTACACGTAGATGGTGATGCGTATAAGACATTCAAAAAGTTTAAACAGGAATGCTGAGTCAGCATTCACACAACCTTCTAACTTCAGTCAGCAGGTATTTATACATTTGTTGGATGTATAGCAGTTTTCTAATGAGAAATAACCTTTTATGGGTGAAGTAAATAGAACTGAACACTTTTATGGGTGGGAGGCGGTTTGTGCCTTTCATCTGAAATGAAAGACAAACTTTAAGAATATCACAAAAACATCAGAACAAAGCATGAATTCTAAGGAATAAATCCACAATTTTTGAGGTAATTACGTCTCCACAGAGCGCTTGTTGAGACAAAGTTTTACTCCTGACTGTTGATGTTTACACAGCCCCAGACTCAGATCAACGCCTCCATTCTCAGAGGCTTGAATCCCACAGCCTTGAGCTTCTTATCAAATCTCTGGACTCCAGTCCCCGTTTCCTCTCCCAGGCTGCTGTGTCTCTGGAGAGCTCCCAACAAAGCCTTCTTCATGCTGCCATGCTGTGTGGTACTCAGAGGTAATGGCCATAAAATGGGACTGTGTTAGCAGATGTTGATTACATCTGGAATTCAAGCTTTTGCCAGAGTCCTATAGAAGAGAGCTAAACTGAGCAGCAGACTGGCTGCAAGGATCAGAAGAGGAGCAGTGCCTCAGACAGAGCTATAAATGTGTTTTACACCTGTTAACTGTACACTGCAAAGAGCAGAAAACTATAAAGACTGTAAACATGTTTTTTATTATTCTTAAGAATGTGTGCATGAAGGTTAGCTTGGTGTATTTTAGATCCAGTAACATTCAATTAATGTAACAGGCTGTAAATACTTAATTAATGACAAAGGTTAATGAGCTTACAAACCTTTTTATACATTAAAAGATTACTACTATATTTTAAATACAATTAAACTACTGTAATTTTCACTGTTAAGTCACAGTTTTTTGCATAAATTAGCATGCCTGTGACTTCTACAGCGAAACGACGTATATATGATTTTCTCATATTCATAACCCAATTTTTGACCGAGATTGACAATTTCATTCTTTCTGCCATGGAAAATATTGAACACTACCATTTTCAGCCACTAGAGGGCCCTCAAAATATATGGCAAGCCAAGTGTCTCATTAATAGGTAAAAGTAGCTATTAATGAGACACTTGGCTTGCCATACAGGTCACCTTCATCTCACTCCGGAACTCCATGAGCAAACGTCAAAACCGCTGTATTTCACCGCACCACAGGCGAAATGCAGCTGATTTGACCAATATAGTGCATTTATTAAGGAAAAGTTCAACTGAGACACAACTTTCCTATAATTTTGAGCAAACAAATAATTGTTTTTAAGTGTTAGTTTTGTTAAATTCTTGTTAAAGTCCTCCCGTTCACGCTCCCGCGGCTGCCATTTGGCAGCCAATCGATTTTTGGCTCAAAACGAGCCCACATTTCCGGGTTGTCAGCGGTGACGAACAATAGATGCGGCTTATACGGCAAAGCGACGTGTACGGCGGCAAGTACGGTACTAGAAGACATTTGAGATGTTAGTGGTAAATGTCTACTGGTTTTTTTTTTTTTGTTTTTTTTTAAGGAAAACATAAGCCAAAAAAAGTACATTCAAATATTTAAAGGATAAAATAAAGATGCATTTTAGTAATTAACTACAGCACTAATAACGTTGGCTGCATGTCAATTTGACATAATATTGTATGCGGAGTCAGTTTAAAGACTACAATATCATGAAAACTTGTTCATGATATTTGAACTTTTCCACATTTTTTTCTTGTTACAACCATAACCTTTGAAGTACTTCACATTATCATTGACCTGTATGGAGCGTTCCTTGGTGTTCGATGCCATTTGATCACGCAAATAAAAAAAAACACATTTGCTTCCACATCACAATACTACATAATTATGTGTTTGTTAATCTTATAAAATTCCAGTAAAATGCTTTGAATTATGTGGCTGTAAGTTGACAAAATGTGGAAAGGCTCCACGGGTTAGGATACTCTTTTTTTTTTTTTTTTTTTAAAGACACTGCAGCTCAGATAAACTTCTTGTACATTATCCTTGTTCAAACTGTGGACTGTAGAACAATAAAACTCTGGTACAACTGCTAAACCTTCATTACTGCTTGCATTTCACTAAATTTATTTTTCCCTGGCCTGAAACAACAGATGCACATGGCTTTCATTAACGTACCATGATCTATAAAAGAGCGTTAAACCCTGGAAAACACTGGTATGTGGAACTAAACCTCTTTGACAAAAGGTTGCATTGATGCAAAATCTGTTTACTGACTCTAATTAGTGATTGGAATGTGTTTTTAATACAATTATTAAAAGTTGGCCACCATACATACTCATAGCATTATGAGCCACCACAGATATGCCTTCACCCACCCTGAGTCTAAACAGCTTTAAGAGCTTCAAAATATTCCGAATAATTATTTTTTTAAAAGGAACGAAACAACCTTCTGTGTCATACAAGAAAAGCACAACTCATTAAGTAAATTTATAAAATGTACCTTAAAGTCTAGGACTTAAATTTTCCTTTACTCTATTAAAAATTGTGTAAAAATTATACACCATGTGTGATGAGACTACAGCTTCTCGTGCTAATTGTACTTTAAAACTTGCAACTTTCACGTGTTCTTCCAGTAACTAATAGTTTTTTATTCATCAGATCAGGTTAAAAAGCTCAATTTATCAGTTTTGTGTGGCTTTAAATATTAGTGGCTGTATTTGTGTTTGGATTAAAATGTTCTGAAAATGAAATAGAAGGTCCCATCCGTCTCAGCCAAGGGAAGCTCTGCTCTTACAGACCTGCACAATATAAGCAATAAAACGTGGACATTTGGATACTTGTCGGCCCAAGACTTCAGAAGATGATTAAACAAATCTGAAATAGTATGTAGGAATGGAAGAACACTCCAAAAAAGGGCTTATTGTGGATCGTTGAAAGCATGCTGTCTATTTCAAGGTCACCTTCAGAAGAAATAAAAGACTGTTAAGATTTGTATGCAAATGTGCTTATTAATCGCATCTTTGGAGCTTCGTTTGAGAACACTAATTTATTTTCTCGTCTAACCTTAACCTGAACTCTCCTCTCTTCCTCTGCATTGGCAACATTTGAATTTGATCCTAAACATAAAAACAATGCCCTCTCTCTTATCGCTCACATGCAATCCCTTGGTTTGTTTGTCTTTTATTGAGCTGAAAGAGTAAATCCAAGCCACGAATAAACACCAAACGGAGAACACGATGAGTTCACTGGATTTCAAGCTTTTTTCATATATGCCAGTTTAAACTCTGCTGCGGGAAAAGTTACTTTAGTTTGTTTCTACGCTGCCATTTTTCATGTATCACGTTCATGGAAACCTTGGATAACTTGGACATTTGCCGTAAGATAAACCTTTGTAATCAAGCAAAGCAAATAAGGATTTCTATCATACTTTTCTGACATAGAAGAAATATGCATGACCCTAAAATGCAGATATACAAACAAGTTGTGTTTTTTCGCTGTACAAGTCACAGTTTGTAGCATAAATTAGCATGCCTGTGACTTATACAGCCAAACAACATATTTATGTTTTTCCCCCATATTTATAACCCAATTTTTGACTGAGATCTGACGATTTCATTCATTCTGACATGAAAAATATTCAACACTACCATTTTCAGCCACTAGAGGGCCCTCAAGTAATATGGCAAGCCAAGTGTCTTATTAATAGGTAAAAGTGGCTATTAATGAGACACTTGAATTGCCATACTAAGCCACCTTCGTCTCGCTCCGGAACTCCTGGAGCAAACTTCAAATCAGCTGCATTTCGCCGTGCCGCCCAGACAAAATGCAGCTAATTTGACCATTAAAGTACATTTATTAAGGAAACGTTCAACTGAGACACACCTTTGATATGGTTTTGAGCAAACAAATAATTGTTTTTAGGTGATTATCTTGTTAAATTTCGAAGAAATGGACAACGCGGCCCCGCTTTTGCGAATCAACTTTTGAAATGCAGCTGATATGAGAGTCGAAGTGCATTTATTAAGGAAAAGATCAACTGAGACACAACTTTGATATAATTTCGAGCTAACAAATAATAGTTTTTGTGTTAATCTTATTAAATTCTTGTTAAAGTCCTCCCGTGCACACTCTTGCAGCTGCCATTTGGCAGCCAATAGATTTTTGGCACAACACCCCTCACATTTCCGGGTGGTCAGACTCAGCGGTGACATGTAACAAACCCGATGCGTCAGCGGTGACGCATCATAGATGTCACTTTTACCGCAAAGCGACATATTTATGTTTTTTTCCACTTTATTAGACATATTTGGACTGATGCAACTTATAAGGTGGTGTGACTTGTACGGCGGCTAGTACGGTAAGTTAAAAATATATTGACTGAAGACAGCTTGCAAAGCAAAGAGCAACACCAAACAGTTTTTGGTTACATTTATTCCTTTGAGGCCAAATGTGATTTCATTCTCAGTTCATTTTTAGTGTTATTGAGGACACCACTCACATACAATCTTCAAGCATGCAATACTTCAAGCAGGACCTTCCCCTAAAAGTCAAAACAACATAAAGACACAAAAAAACACTAACCTTAACATGTTGAAGCTGTAGCACCAAATCGTCAAGCTGACTTCGTTTGTCCTCAATTTCGGCTTGTCTTTTTCGCTTCTCCTATAACAAAAAAGGGGAAATATAATGAGCCAGCTACTTTAAAATGAACTGTTTAAAATATAAAACTTGTTTGGTATGGTTTATTCTTTGATGGATTCTGAAGAAAGTAAAATACAGCCAAGAGACAGGATTATGTGTGATGATGCTCTTGTGCTGATTGGATGTTTGAAAGTCTATTAAAATTATCTGCAAGACAGGATCATTGAGTGAAATTAGGGTTTACGTGAATTTTATTCATCAGTGGCAGACAACTCCAATAACTCTACTCAATAAATGCCCCAGTCCAGAGAAATTGGGACAAAAATGAGCTGTATGTGGACACTGAAAGGAAGTAAAGCATTGGAAAACCAGGAGGTCAGAGCTTATCAAGGCTTGAGATGAGTCAAGGTTCACTGGTTATATGGAGAGGCCTTGAAACCTTAGTTGGATCTTGATCTTGAGAGACGCATCCTTCATTTCATGGAAAAATAAGTAGAAGAGAAGCTGGATGTATGGTATATTATTAAAAAGACTTGAGGGACTGATGGGATGTGGATTCTTATCCATAAAACACTGAGAATGCCTGGAAACCTAAACAAAATGACATCCCAGAGCAAGCCTTCATGGGGCACAGGGGCAGGAGGTACTGAGACTGTGTACAGAGCAATGCTGTATTTCTCAGTCCTTTTCTGTGGGAGTAGAACAAGGGTTTCTGGGACATTTCCTGTTGGGTAAAAATAGCTCGCAGGGAAAACCCCCAAATGTGGATAAACTCTGGACCATGTTTAAGTGAAAGTACAGTAGGAGTGACTTGGCATAAAAAGGAGATCTGGACACAGTGAGAACAAAAATCATGAGAGGATCAAACTAAAACAACAGCTCTATTGCAGAATCTCATTTTACTTCAAATTCAGGTAAAAACTGAAAGAGAAAGAATGAACATGTTCTTCTTCATGAAGTGCCTTTATGAAAAATACTCAACACTAATTATGCTACCAGTTGTCAACTATCCCCTTCCAACAAGTTTGGGGGCCCACTCTGGGCTCTCAGATGAGTATGCAATCAAAAACATCATAAAACAACATTCAAGACGTAACTAATCAGACTACCTCAACTGTATGATTTATTTATTGTTTTTTTACACAAAAGTGTACCAATTCTGCTCCAAGCTCTCACTGGGAATCGTCGCTCCATGCTTCTTCTATTGGTTGCTCCCATCATCAGGGGTCGCCACAGCGAACTATCTTGCACAAATACTTGGCAATTGGTTTTACGCTGGATGCCCTTCCTGACACAACCACATCCCTCTGTGTGGAGCAGAGAGCTGCCATCTTGGGTGTCCAGGGGAGCAGATGGCCTTGTTCAAGGACCCAGAGTGGGGGCAAACCATGGTGGAGGTAGGTGTGGGTGTTTCACCTTACCCATCCACATTTTGATGTTGGTCTGGGGGTTCCAATTGACAACCTTTCGATCACAGACTTGCCTTATCTACTGTCTGTGCCCCCATGCTGTTTGAGCCTATAGCTCAAAGTAGGGGAAGCTATTTTTGCTTTTTGTTTCAGCTGTTTCATGCTGTCTGTTACTACCCTGAACATTTTAATATCATAGGTAAGGGGAAGAATAATAATTGAATGAATAATCGCTCCATGGGCGTTATGATGAGGCCAGTAAATCACAACAATTGTAAAAAGAAAAAAAAGTAGTCAACTCAAAACAGAATTGACCTTAACATTCTGTTGAGCAATATAAAACATTTCAGGACAAGACCACCTTTGGCAGAGTCTGGAAACTTTGACTTTATGCCAAGATTGGAAGCAATGCCAAGACTTTGGCACCTCATACCTTACTGGTGATCCTGCTCATCTATGGGGCACAACTATAGAGATTCATGTCACTGAAATATGTGCAGAAACCCCAGGTAGACTAAACTTAACAAGGTCCTCAGCAAAACTAAATGGTAAACAGGTGGTCCACTGGTTTATGGAAAAGACAGAAACTACAAATGCTCCACAGTTTGACTTGTTAGGTATTTTACTAATGGGCTTGGTCCATAATATGAAGACAACCAATAACTACTAGGAACTTCACCACATAACCAGACAGAAAAGAGAAAGTGTTGCTATGTTCTAGTTACAATTTCACCTCATACACTTCACATGGTCGACCCTTTTCAAGAGTCTTCATTTATATTTGGATAAACAACTACTTAGTAATTGGGGTGTAGCAAATGGGAAAAAAAATCTGCCTTGGTAGTAGTTTTGTTTCGGCTATGAATAAATAATGTGTTGTACTTTGGATGCATGCCTGCACCACCTTCCAGCTAAAGTACGATGTGTGGTGTGAGAAGTGTCATCTGGTGCCAGAAAATGAGTGCAGCAGAACTGAGGTGGTTCTTTGCACATACAGTAGAGAGCTGCTTTTTTCTGTCTTCCCTTCAAAGCAATCTTGACTAGATTAATTTTTAGAACTGGATCAAGGCTGAAAAAAACATCTGCAACAGAGCTGAGGTCATTTATGTCTTTTCCCCATCTCTCTGCTGCAAACATGCATGCACATCCACACACACACATACACCACAGCAACCTATAAAACAGCAGTTCCCATGGTTTGTGATGTACAGTCGGAGTCTTAAGTGCTATGGATGCCAGATGTCAGGGGATGTTGAGGGCATGTGGCTGAGGAGTGGGCAAAACATGCCTACAAATACATACATATGACATGTATAGAGAAAAAAAAACACAATTTAAAATGTGCAGTGCAGAACACACAGACACACACAAGTCCTCTATTCATGAAACTATTCTAAGGCGATGTGCGGCGTCAACATGTGAATAAACTTAACGTTATATTTAATTGATGCACTGTCAAAAAGTTATTAGCGGTACTTTATCATGAACACAAACACAGCACTCACTGGTGAAATCCAAGGTCTTAGAACAGTGATGAACAAGAAGAAGTGTGTGGTAGTTAATGATGAAATAACAGAAATAAAAAGGCCAAAAGCCTCTAGGAGTGTAACAGACTGCAGCAAAGCTAAACACAAAAAACTGACAAGGAGTAATCAACAGAATTTGAATCAGGTGTGAACAATCAACGGCAGTGGAAATAATCAATCCTTTGATTGGTACAAAGGAAATGGTTTTAAAATATAAAACAGGAAGTAAATAATCAGAACAAGAACGCCACGAGACATTAAATCCAAATAGATGTTTTACTTTCAGCCGCTCGTTTCTGCAGGTATCATCATAGCGGATGAACTTACACAAACAACATTTGGTAACTGTTTTACACCAGATGCCACTCCTGATACTACCTGGGTTTGAACCTGTAGCCTCATGTTTACAACACCGCTGCACTGACCACTGAGCTGCAACCAAAATCCAAGCTTCATTATAATTTTTTTTTATTTTTTAAATCACATTAAACCAATGAAACCACTGGATCATGTATTCATGCTATGCATTCATTTTTATGTTTTATTGTCAAACTTGCTATAGGTTTAATGTATAGCAGAGTTTCTTTATTGTCATTCACACCACATGTGGTGCATGTGGTGCAACGGGATTGTGTACTCAGGGTCCCAGTTACATCCCACAATAAAATGTAAAAGAAAAACCGTAATAAGATCTAAGATATAAACTAAGAAAAACATAAACTAAAAATATGCTAAGCACTAATAGCATAAAAACAATAAAAACAATACACCGAACAGCAGCACGAACACGAGTCTGTGTGAGCAGATGAGTACGAATGAACACAGCAACATGATGGGATTTTTCATTGTGATTATCCTGCTTAGATATTCATGAATCTAACAGCCTCAGGGTAGAAGCTGTTCCTCAGTCTAGTGGTTCTACACTCAATGCCTCCTAACCTCCTTCCTGAGGGGAGCGTGGCAAAAAGTACGTGAGCTGAGTGAGTGGGGTCCTTCATGATGCAGGTGTCTCTCTTCCTGCATCTAGATGTGTAGATGTC